GGGCCAAAACGTGCCAAAAGCGAAAGCCCTCCCCCACAAAAGTGACAACCTTGCTCAATCATTGCTCAATCATGTCCCCTTAGTATGACAGTACGTTTTGGCACGCTCCAATGGGTTTGTCCACCGCTTGACCTTTACTTTGAATCACTCCCCGGAAATAATTGTGGAAGCGGAAGAAAAAAACACCAGTTTGGTATTCGGACAATGGGTCTTTCCAGGGTCCATGCCATCCACTTCCATTGTTGAAGGGAAGGTATTTATCGTTGTAGACAAAGCATGGAGTCAGATGGAGTCAGGCCCGCCATGGAGATGGGTCTGCTCGAGGCTTCATTCTGGTGAGGCAACCCTTGAGGGACCCAAGCATCAGCCGCGGCACAGCCACATGTTGCTTGAGTTGTTAACGAATCCAAGTGATGCATAGCTGTATGAGGCAGAGTATGAGGCAGATCGCAAACACAACAGGTGGTTGTTCAACAACCATGAAACCCTAGATATCCGTTGCGTAAGTAATACCAAGAAAGAAACACGCACCCTGGCACCGTCGAAACTTTATGCAATATCCTTTTATAATTGGAGAGAAAAATCATACAGTTCGCACCAAACACACAACAAACAAACTTCGACAGAGATCCACGGAATCGTCCCAGTTCTGCCTGCTGGTGCTGCTCAGGACTTCCAGGCGGTGCCTACCAGCGCCTTCGCCGAGAGCGACGAGCCGGAGCCGACGATGGAGCCGGTCGAGCCGGAGCGAGGCGGAGGGGTCCGATGGATTCCACAGGTTCCGTCGGAGGAAGCAATACCATGAGCAGGGGTCTATAAACTCTTGATGAATGAAAACCCCCAGTTGAATTGGACATCCTCTTCATTCTGGGGAGTTTATTAATCAAAGAGTCTACATTAGGCTAGCATCACGAACCATAGCTGTCGTGGAACTCTGGAACTCCTTGTATTGTGGTGTTGGTCCTTGGGAGCCTGGTCAAGCATTGGACTGGCAGCCAGCCACGCCCTTTGGAAGATTAACTATATAAGAACTTATATATCTAGAGCATCAAAGCAAAACCAGGAGGATGATTGTATAATGACACATTTTTGCAAGCAAGAGCAAGAAGACCTTAGATTTAATGATCGATGGCCACACAATCCCTGGCATTCCTGGAATGGAATGACTGGTGATTGACCTATAATTAATCAATATTAAATATTATATATACAGTGTATATCCCCTGGCAAGCCTCAAAAGATCTCAAAAGAATAGCTGGATGCACCTTCTGTGAGGACTGGAAAGCTGCCCTACGCTTCAGTCAGTTTGGCCGTTTGAAGATGGGTTTGTGGCGAAGGTATTATTGCAGTAAATGGAGGCTCCCGTGAAGCTGGCCACTGAAAAACACCCAACACCACCTGAAGCTGGCGCCACCTAATCCTTACTCAGTTCAAAACCACCACACTTTTGAATATGCAGCCATATACTTTGAGCAGCCTTTCTTCCGACCGGTGAGTTTCATGTGGAAACTCCAAGATCATAGTATGCTAAGATTCGTCATATTCACGGATCATTAATCCTGAACAACGTCATCATCTCCACAGGTCTTGTCATCCCCCGCTGCCTGACCAGAGGCGACGACGGTAGCACCTCCAGCCCTACCCCGCTGCCGCCCTGGCGCACTGCGCGGGAGCTGCCGCCGCCGCCGAAGCGGCCGACGTCGGTGCCGAGCGCTGCGCCCACTGTGCGGGTGAAGCGCTTTCGGAAAGCTCACGCGGCCCAGGTGCAGGTCCTTCGGAAGGAACGGAGGTGATGGAGGGATCCAAGCTCACGCACTGTTTCCGATTCGCAGGATGAGGAGTGGTCGGAAGCGGAAGGTTTGCTAGCAGCCGTAATGGTTGCATCAGAATTCCTATAGATTGATATTTGATGATCTTTTCATGTCCTCATGCACGAATGACTACAGTAAGTGCGTTTATAGGATTTATATTGTATATATTTGTTTATCCTCATGCGCAAATTATTGGTTTTGAACGGGTTCGATAAGGAATCCTGAACGGGAGACAATTGGATCTTTGAGGGTCTTTGTCTCTTCTATTTCAGAAATTGAAGCGATGCATGATCGGTGGGCGACCTGTCTTTAGCTGCATCCTGCACTGCTCTATGAGTCAGCCGCTTCGTCCGCAGATGCTATTGGAACCCTACTAGCAATGGCCTCCAACCTACTAGCGATGGCCTCCACCCTACTAGCAATGGACTCCAACCTAGGAGCGATGCCTCCAGCCTAAGAGCGATGGCCTCCACCCTACTAGCCATGGCCTCCAACCTACACCGCCCGTTGAGGCGAAGTCTGAGGTGAAGGAAGAGCTCGAAGAGAAGCCGTCACTCAGCTCGTCTCGCACCGGAGCTCAGCAGCTCGGCGGCTCCGGAGCTCAACCCTGGGGCAGCCGATCCGGTCTCAAAAGGGAGGGGCCGTGGCACACAGATTGCCTTGGGCATGTACCAATGAGCAGGGATGTGGAGGAAGCAGAGTCTAGGGCAGTTTGTTGCGGGATATGGGGAATAGCTTAACCAATAATTGATGATATTCATTCAGAAGTTAAGGTTGCCAAGTTGGGTGGTTTCTTCCAAGATTGTGATTATCGATAGTAGTTCCTTTCAGCCGCCAATGTTTGACTTACTGATGCCACCCCTTTCAATGGAAGGAGTGATAAACCAAGTCCTAACTCGTTGTTGTGTCATGTTGTTTCTATATACACGAGGTTGCACGACTGAAATGTGTCACTATGTGTCACTATAATCGCTAGACAGGTTCACAATACAGAAGACATTGTACCAGAATCATGGCAACATTGGTGTCATTGGTGGCTCTCTATATATGCTGGTCATGTTCTAAGCTTGTTCGTATCAATGATCAGCATCCGTGCAAACTGCATTGGTGTGCTGCTGGTCTTCCGTCGGTCTTCCGAGGCCAAGCAGATCTGGAACTGAAGAGAACTTGCTCTACTGGGCAAAGAGAGCCTAGGCAACACTTGGATCTACGGCCAACGGCCGACCTAGAGATGCGGCGTTTTCATGGTTGACGAACGCAGAAGATAGCAGCAGGATTGGGTTTCTTTGGAGAAGATGTCTTTCAATCACATGGATGAAGTGGCTGTTGCTGCAAGTCTCGCTAGTGATTTCGCCAGTGCGAGTGGATCTAAAGCTGTTCTTCATTGTTCTTCTACAAGTTTGCCCGACAACTGTTTAGTTTGGTGTCCTCATGCTTTCTTGGCCACGTGCTTCACCCAATATTGATGAGAACTGCCGCATCACATTACATTCATATTCATTGAACACCACCCCAATTCAGGTGTTTTCGGGTGTATGTTGCTTTTGTTTGGCTTTCTAAAGGCACGTCTATTCGTTCAAGGCCAATGCTTCCACCAGGAACACCTTTCCGAAATCGCTCCTGAGGACAGGAGCAGTTTGGCCTGCCGCGCTTGCCCGAGCCCTGGATACGCGTGCCATCCAAGAGCTCAGGCAGGAAGATGAGCTGTTTCGATGGAGGGGTGTTTTCTGGATGTGAATGGGTTGGAAGGTTGGATTTCCCCCACCCTCATTCCATTGCCAACAAATTGGCTTTCATGTCTTTTTGATCAATGGGTTCCAGCCTTGTCAGGGAGCCTGGAAAAGATTGGAAAAGCCATTCATCAGATTCAAGCTTCAGTTTCATGGAAGAAGTGGTATAACGCTCAAAGGGTGTCTCCTACAGACTCATATTACTCCGATCAGTTCCAAACAGTTCTAGATTCCGGCTGGTGATTTGGAGACAGGGACTGAGGAAATCATGCGTAAAAAAAGGTGCGTCAGTGATCACCTCAAGCTGTTGGAATTTGCCCTCTGCAATCATGAGCTTTGTCAGGAGGTGTCTTGTCAGGTCAGCTGAACTCTGAGCCTTGTGATGTCCTTAACTCGTACATGAGTGCTTGCAGGTTCTCCACTAGCAGTCACGTTCGCACTTGACTGTTCAACCTGTCAGACAGGTGCGCAAACACGTTGGATGTTCCCTAGACCTTGCAGAGTCGTACAGGGTTCCTAAGACCCATTGAAGAACAGCGAGTACAACTCGCCCAGGCGGGAAATTGTACTACTACGTCACTTGGATGCACAACTCCTGAGCATTCGCCAGGAGTTTTCCTAAGAAAATGGGTGTTTGCCAAAGGACTTGGTGGATCAGCAAGCCAGACAGGTAATCCAGGTGACCTGTTGAATTGTGGAGTGTGGCAGTGCCGTTAACAACCTTTAATAGAGCTTAAATGTCTGGTGTTTTTCCATTTTGACCTGCCGGAGCTTGTGTGATTGGGAACGACTTCCTTCGACTAACTCTCCAACCAACCCCTATGTTTGCCATGATGGCAAACGTTTCGGTTGATAACCTGCGGAATTCTTATATGGACGACAGTGTAGGTCCTTCAGGGTTGGGAGAGGGGTCCCACCAAACATCAGAGTGTCAAAGTGGATGATCCCAATTGCTTGGCCTACATCCATCTAAGTACAGTGTTTGCTGGGGTATTGACATGACAATACATGAAAACACACCTCAGAACATCCAGAACAAGACTCAAGAGCTTCATCAGCTTAGAGTTGATCCAGCAACCCCCCCAGTTTCTATTTGCGACTAGGCTGACGTGGTGAAAACGTGGAACCTCCCAAAATCATGCTCAAACCGCTCTCCATCCACGTGCCCGATCCTCGTCCCCCAAACCAGTTCGCCTGGGTGTCAACAGTCAGGACTCAAACACCAAGGAGTTGATTTACACCAAGGAGAGTCAACTGCCTGGTCGGTCTCCCCGCAAATTTCCACTCCAGACAGCTCTGGTTGGGGATCCTCCAACCCCTTTTCCCCCGACACGACGCACGGACCGCTCGGACTCAGGTGAACCTGTCCACGGGGGAATCGACCTTCGAAAGCCCTGATGGAGCTCTTCCACCGGGATGGGAGGTGGTCATCTCCAAAAGCACTGGCAAGCTCCATGGCCGAAAAGACCAAAAGATGGAGGTGGGAAACTGTCCTCCTCAACTTGAAGAAAGCGCACATGGATCCTTGACGTGGTGCCGAGACCCAGATGTTGCAGCGCTAGATCGTTGCAAACCCCAAGTGAATCGATTTGGTGGTTTCCCACGGAAGTGGTTGATTTTGCGGTCAGGTGTTGATCCCCTTGAGCTGTGATCAATTCTCTTGGAGAAACCTGTGAACATACTAGGTGTTTCTACCAAGAATGACGAGCCACAAGCCATCTCTTGTCCACTACCGAAGCCATTTTGGGCTCGTTGGCTGTGCTTCTGACTACAATGAAGACAATGCTGAGACCTGCCTTTGCGGGTCTTCTTGTGGCCTTGGTTGCAAGAGCCGCCAAAGTGCATTCAGAACACCTGGACATCGCTCCCCCTACAAAAGCAGCCTCATTCCAGAGATTGCCAAAAGAGAAGCCTGGGCAGCCAAGCAGTCCATTTTGTTTGCTTGTTCCGTGCAAATTAAGTTGTTCTAGTAAAAATAGATCCAAAAGTTCATTTTCCCTAACCAAGTAGAAGTTGTCCTCTAGAGTTTCCCATCGAAACTATGTGAGCACCCGTCCCAAAATCGATGATGGCCAAGTTCATGAAAAGCGTTCGTTCTCGATTCTTGTGACAACCATGTCAATGCTTTTGTGAGTTTTCCAGCTTTGTTTAAAGTGTGGCTGCGGCCGGCTGCTCTCCTGTCGTTCGATCACCATGTTGTTCGCGTCGTTCCCGACCGGTTTGGGTGGCCCTTCATATGGAAACGGGAAGGCTTTTTACAGGGCTTGCTTTGCTTAGTGAAGAGACACCTGGTGTGTTTGATGATCTTCTCCGAATTGCCAGTGGTTCTTGGGGTCCTAGTTATTTGTGAAGAGCTGTGTGCGCCTTGCTGGTCTGAGGAAATGCTCCGGCGTCCCCTACACCAAGAAATCGGATTTGTTTTGCGACGGTTGGACTGGGATCTCGCTTGAGGAATGCGAGCAGAAGTGCATTAAGAATGAGGTGGAGGGGCTGGGTTTAATGATTAAACAGCATCAAACAGCCATCTAATCTGTGTAACATTGTATATGTATACAATGTATACAATGTATTAAGTAATATAGTATACATACGATTGTAACTGTAACTAATTATATACACTATAAATCGTTCAATATTGAGAGAATCGCAGTTACAGGGAGTCAGCTGTACAGCTGGTATCAAATGGTAAAATTAGGTTAAACAGGGCCTCCCTGGGAGAGAAGTGTGTTTATGCCTTCAAAAGGGGCCGCGTTGAGAAACGGTCCGAGCCCATGGTGTCTAGGTGGCGCCCAATTGTCCCAACAAGACTTGCCAGGCGAGGCAAGGGCGGTGATCAGGTCTGGACCTGGACATCAAACCAAAGATCCATGTAAGACTCCCAGAGATATCATTGATTGACTTCCTCGCCCCAGTATCTAAAGATGTTGACTTCCTCGAGTGCGCTGTGGAGCAGACAAGGCTTTTTTCAATTTTTCGGGTTCCGGAGGTTGTGGAAGAGTTCGGAGTCCAAGTAGAATCAATATGCAAGTTATTCACAATGCGTTTGATGAAGAAAAGATGCCACCCGCAACCCCGCTTTCAGTTCCTCCGACATAGACCAACCAAGAGAGAGAGAGAGAGATTGACGCTTGTTGGACCCTACATTAGAGCCCTCACACAGAGAGTGTGGTTTTCTATGAAAAGGTTCAATGACCTTCATCCCTTGTTACAAAGAATCCAACAAATCCTGAACCGTGGTAGCCAGTTTTTCCAGCTGAACCCTGCCGGTGACGATGCCGAGGTCCTGGCCTTTCTTGTCGATCCGTTTTTTCAAGGCGGCCAACTTCTACCCGGGCAGCATGAAGTGCCATCTCTTCGATTTCTGCACCGAGCTCGAAGACGACTTCGCCGCCACAGGCGCGTCGCGTCGAAGACGACATTGCGTGGGGCGGGGCGGTCGGGCTGCGTGGTGCCGCCCGGGTCCGGGTCCGGAGATCACTGCTGGACCGGCCCAAGTCTTGGATTCTCCGTTTGTCTTTCTGTTCGTCGAACAGGGAGTGCAGAATTCTATAGAATTCTGCTTTGAGATGTTGAGATGAAAGGGTCCATGGCGTTGACTTGGAACTAGTACTTACACTGCTCACAGACTGCTAGAGTCACTACTCGTACTTATTACAAGCTGCTTGATTCTAGCTGGCTCTGGATGTCTGGTATGATTTCTGAGGGTCACTTCAATTCACCAGCAATGCAAAAGCCCCACTCGTCCCTCGCACCACCACCGGGAGCGCTTCTTTTCCTCAGTGCAGGCCTGGTGCGCCGTGAGCTGCTCGAGGATCTCATGGACGAAGACGATGAGGATGAGCCGCTCACGGCAGTGACGGGTCCTGTGGCGGAGCTGGCCATCGCGTTGCCCATTGCTACTTGGATGACACGGAGGTTCGGGAGGGTCTTTTTAGGGATCTTGAAAAAGAACGAAAAGGACACTCAATGGTTGTTCCTATATACTTTGTACTTACGTAATCATGCATGCATACAAATACAATGTGTACTTGTACATGCATACAGGCTATCCCTCCTCACAAGTTCTACCTTTCTGGAGTCAGAGATTTGCAGTTTATAGATCAAGCACAGATGATGCTGCACATGCAGCAGGTAGATGTTTACCCAAACGGTGTCGTCACACTAGGGGTTCATTCGGCAGCTCAGGAGTTAAGGCGGGGTGTTGATCGGTGGTGCTTAACGGCAATTGGCTAATTTCACACTACATTAATGCCTCTCAAGATCTTCCAAAGTGCATTTCGACTGCACTGACTCGCAGAATCTGCTGGGGCGGAGCATGTGCTTTCCTTGACTGCGCTCTCGTTGTGGTGGGGTGCACATTTTCAGACTTGATGGTTACTTGTCCAGGCGCAAGGGAAACCTCGTGTTTTGGTGGTCCAAAAGGGACTTATCGTGGCAGGCGCAGGAGAACAACACAGGTAACATGGGGGCTGGCTTCATGGCGGCAAAGCCCTGACAAATTTGTACCCTGAATGGGGGAACTTCTAGGGTCTAGGGTGTTGTACGTTGGCTTCTGCCATTTTATCACCTGCCTGGCAAGCTTTAACAAAATCAGGCCAAAATCCTCTAACGTCGGCCACCCCATTAGCCCCCCGGGGCTCAAAGAGTGTGTCCAGACGGCTCTCTCTCTCTCTATATATATACATATATATATATGTAATAGATATATGCGCACCTACAGAGACAGAGAGAGAGAGAGAAAGAGAGCGCGATAGACACAAAAAGGTTGTGGTGAGAGAGCGATGATGTTGTTTCATTGATTCAATAACCTACGTCCACGACTGAGTGCGCATATTCAAGAAGAATCAACTTCACCCATCTGTGATAAATTTCAAAGGGTCCATGCTTTGTCCTGAAAAATTCCGAGGGACACTCTCATCCTACACAGCCTCTTAGACAGATTGATTTCCGACCTCCAGGTTCTCATCAACATGAGCAACTACTCGGGGCAGATGCATGGCTGATCTTTCTTTGCCGCATGCGAAAGTGGCCAGGTGCACTGGAGACCGTTTTTAACAATTATAAACTATGATTCACTCACCGGCACAGGACAATTGTTGGTAATAAACAACATGAGATTCAAGAAAGGATGGTCGTGGGTGGTTGCTGTGAGGGCTACTTGCACCAATACTCCAAGACAGTTTTGTATCAGTGATTTCTTCTGTTGGTTTTAAAATTTTCAGAACCAAAACAGTGAAATTGAGGTGATCTGGTAAGTTGTTGCTAGATTGGAGAGAAAGGCAAGCACTGGAGCGTTGCCTAATCCTTGCCTAGGACTTGCGAGAGACTGACTTGCCTGAGATGGGTTGCATCACAGCGATCTTTTTGCCACGTGTTAACCAACATGAAAGGGGTCCCCATCCTTTATATAGAACTGTTCCCTTCCCATTTTTGTGTTTATCCGTGTTTCTCCGACTATGCCTCATCTCCCATTGTCCTTGTGTCAAACAAACCCATGCACAGGCGTTGCCAGGCCTAAACACCATGAAATGAAGCAGCTAAACTGACCCAAACCAGCTGCCGTAAACAATAAACAAGTACAAATTACGTAGTTATTTTAAATAATCATATGCATATTCATGGTTGCTTAGAGTCGTAGAATCTACTTCCAACAAAGATTTGAGAGTTCAGAGTTGAGTGCCAGGCACCACAGATCAACAATTTGTTTGTTGGTAATCTCAGAAAAACTTCTAGGCAACCGTGGGCCGTAATTGACTTGCTCGGACTCGATGGTCTTTGGAATTGCTCGTGACCTGCGAACGCGGTCATGATTCTCAACAAGTGCCGGTGATCAGAGAACTAGTCATGTTCAATTTTGCCAGATCTGAAAACCTTGTGCTCCCCTTTGTGGGAGGGAAGTCTTCGCGCTTTCATTCCTCCAAACCGACCGTTCTGGTGGGCGCCCAGGATCACCAACCACCGTCCTAGATACAAGACCTACACCTTCGGCAACATCAGCTCCGATCTAGATTCCTTGGCCGAAGATGGTCGGATCGTCAATGCTGTGCCGGGTTGGCTGGTTGGAAGTAGCAGGGCAATAGGAAGACTATGCTCATGACCCCGGCATGTTGCATCCTGCAACACCATGTATGTCCATTTCACTGATTGAGTCGGTGGTTGAGCCACCTATCCTCACTCTCCACTTTGGAGAGGTACATTGAATGGGTTTGATGAGAACATATGAGAACTCTCTTTGTAGAAGGTAGCCACGCAATGTCGGTTTTAGGACTTGATCAAAGTGATTAAAGCTCTGTTCCTCTAAGACACTTGCTTTGTTTTGCTGACATGTATTCCACAACAAGCGCATGGGAATTTCATGTTGGCTGACCTTACCATCCACTGTGCGAAGAAAGCGGGTGACTGTCTCGCCGCAGTTTCTGCGGTGACGAACCGCTCTTTGTTTCGGAACCGAGACGTTCCAGACGGAACCCATGAACCTCATCGACCCAGACGTTCCTGGGCACCGGTGAGACCGAAAGAACAGCTCAATGAATTAGGTGCTCGTGGCACATGCCTAAAAACGAGGTGCAGCAGAAGACTAAGTGGCCGGTGGCCGGTCAGCAAATAGCATGGCACCATGCCAATAGAATATCCAAGTGGCCGGGTGATCCATTGGTTCCCCAGCAGCCGCTGAGCTCGCCAAACCATCGCTCCGAGCTCGGAGCTCGTGAGAACCCCCTCTTGGCCCAGGAAATGCTCTACGACAAAGTGCAAGGCTTCTACAGTGTTTTGCACGAGAGCATGAATGGTACGGACGGCTTGATGTACTGTCCCACGCGGTCGGTCTCCAACATGATGGACTGGATCAAACGAGAAACACACTTGTGAGTGGGAGAGAGGGCATATTGTAAGGGTTGGGCTTTGTCATGAGTCTCAAAACTGTCGTCAGTGTTCGTGAAATACCTTCTTCCTTGTTGTTATTGCCCATCAGCTTCAGATCTTCAGGATGTTCTCACCCTGCGGAGTTGAATCCCGGTTCAAACAGATCCTGGATACCTTTAAACCCTTGGTGATGTGAATGTGATAGTCTGAGATACCCAATCATCACTGAAGATACCCAACCCAGTACCCAACCCATGTCAACCCATGTCAATCCACCGTTTATATATCAGAGTGATGGCTTTTCCCCAGTGTCGCGTTGGCTGTCTATGTCTATCAGCTATCAACCATAGAAAAGAAGAGCACATCAAAACTCCATCCTGTTCCTCCTCTACATAATTTCTCGCTCATCACCAGGAGTGCCTACGCTTGGCCACGTGTTTGATCCAACGCCATGCCCCGCAGCAAGTGCCCATGGAGACCTATGCCATCCTTGAAGACTTGGTGACACGTTTCGAGAGCATCACTTGGCCAGTGCTGCGACTTGGTGCTGATGTCATTCAAGTCACCTCTTAAGTCTTAAGGGGTATTTTATGTAGTAATATGGAGTCCTTGCTGGGCTGATACTGTATCAACCTACAGATCAAGATGCGACGGCATAGCAACAAATTAATTATCTATATTATATATATACAATAGAAACGCTCTTACTTCTTACGATCATTGATGACCCTCTCAACCCCTCCCTGTAAAGCAACGTGTTTGTGTTCCTTTGCCAGAGGAAGGCGATGCTGGGGGGGTCCTCCTCAAATGTTTGGGCTCTGTGGACTCAATCATCTCAAGTTGAGAACCTGTCGGGCTTGGAGCTTTGGATATCCAAAGTTCTCCCATTTGCCAGGAAAGGAGCTCTCATGAACGAGGAAGGCACTCTAGACTTGATCAAGAAGGACGCAACAGGGCTTTGGATGGTAGGCTTCCTCTGAACATGTCATTGGCAGCTTCGTACTAAGATGTTTTTTAATTGTATTGGCTGTATTGGTGACTACCCGTGAATAAATGTCAATAATAATACGAACAGTTGGACATGTTGGAGTGCAGCGCCCTGTGAACATCACTTCGGTAGACCAGGACCAGCGACTCCCACCGCTCTACAATTGCGTGGCCACAGAAGAGATCAGCGAGGAGGATGTTTCAGCACCGGGTGGAATCATGGCGGAAGCACTGTTGAGAGCAGTCTGGGGAGTGTTTTTGGGTAAAAGGTGTTTCGGGGCAGCCGGGCGCCGGCGTGATGGTTTTAGGCGATTGCAAGATATTGGAAGTGTGTGAATGAATTCTAAACCAGGCATAGTGGAGGGGTCTGTGAAATTGCTGTGGAAGACCCAAAGAACACAGTGGATGGGGTCTGTGGAGGAGAAGCAAGCCCTGGTAAAGGGATGTAAATGTATACACAAAAGGGTTCTGATCTTCAACTCGGTAACTTCGTTAGCAACAGTATGATCTTTGTGTGTTTCAAATTTGTTGTATTAAGATAGTAGTGAGGTTTCTGAAGCATGTTCAGACGTCACCGACTTGTGTTTTTTCCCAGTAAAAATTGGTGTGCGTGCCGGTGCTATGCCCATATGGATGATTGCCCAAGATTGGAGATGTGTGGAGTTGCAAAATGCCTTGTACTGATGGCCCCCGCGTTGGCGCGAATCGCTTTGAGTCCGTCCTTTGAGCACGAGCTTGCGCACCCAACCCTCAGAGTTACGGATCGTGTGCAGAGTTACGGAGCCGGTAACACATATAAAAATAGACATGACACAATGAGGCATTTCCTTTCACTGTCTTAAGTAATCCCGTCTGGACATACTACATATAGACCCATGTGCATAAAACTGCATAAATGAAACAATATCATCTAGCTATTGGATGCCCACCAAAAGTTGAAACCTGTCACATCGAACGGTTTACCTTTCCCTTTGCTAAAGCCTTTGGTGATCCATAATATATATATATCGACTGTATAGCGTGCAAGATTAACAACAATAATAATAATATAACAAATATCCATCAAGTTTCAAAAGGGCGCAATGTAAGGCCAAGCCAATTTGTTTGATCGAAGCCAAGCTGGGGGAATCTTGCGAATTCATGCACACCCCCGATGCCGCGACAAAAACAACGCAAGCGATGAGTTTGGAAAGACGACTATTTCCCAACAGGATGTGTGTTTATGGGGAAATTATTGAATAGAGTTAAAGGGGAGCAGGGTTCTGAGGGAACAGTTTCCGGCGATAGTGATAGGTGGGTGATTTTCATGAAAAGCGCTTGAAAAGACAACGCAATTGCAAATGCAGTAGGGACTGTCAAGAGTACAAAGTACCAAAGTACCGCACTGCTGTTGGTGATCCAGGTAGGGGGCAAGTCACACAAAGATCAAACAGGGACATACATGGAAAATGAGTGGGACAAACCTGCGGCCCTGCTTGAGCCCGGCAAATGAACAACATGGATGTTCTCAAAGATGTCAACCTACCATGCTTTTGGGCAGTTCTTGATCCACACTCATATGTTGAGTCTGGGTTGGAGGGAGTAAACTCATCACCAGCTGCGCGGTTTGGATGTGTTTCCAGATCTATGACTAGTTCTTGTTTGCTAGAGCCACCTCGCCCATGTATTATGTAGACAGAACGCGGTTGAGATCTTCGGCATGTCCCTTTCCAGCTGGGACATACCAGACCAGCTAAGAAAGTATAAAGCCCCCCCATGCAGGAAGTAATCTTCGCGTGTCCGTTTTGCCAGAACGATGCAGTTAGTCAAAGTATTGTAAACTGTTCGTTTTACTGACAACCTCAGCTGCGATGTGTTCGGTGCTCGCCGAGGGGTTTTCTTGCAGCTCCATGATGAATCTGCTACTTCCATGGCTTTGGCACGTGCCACGCGAGGCTCGCTCACCCTCTTGTTCGGACCATGTGAATGTTCAGCGGTGAATCGCCTGAGAGGCTGCAATTCGTGAACAAACAATGTTTTGGTGATAGATCCAAGGTTCCAGTTTGGCTGGGGGCCTACTCAAAACTTGACTGGAATAGGTGGAGTGAGACCCTCAGTGATGGGGATGTTGTTCGTTTGCTGAGCTCTCGGTCAAGGAGTTCAGGCTTCTGGGGTGTCTATCTTCTGCAGCCATCGATGGGTCTTCATCCTGTTCACAGGTGACTGTCAAAAACGCGTGTTTGGCTTCTGCAAGAAGTGTGTCATCCCCTAACCAGCTCGTTGCAACCTGGAAGTGCCAGGAAGTGCAAACATGTAGTAGGATGATCCTCAGCTGGTCGGTGCTTTACGAATGCACTAGTTACTACGGTTGATGACCCATGCGATGCGGGTATTGAAAGAACATACAACTTTGACCTTGTCAATCCAGGGTGTCAGACACCCATACCATGTCAATCCATGTCATGTACATGTATATCAGGTACACACCAGATCTTGGACTCCCATACTCACAACAGCTCCATGACCGTGACGCTTCAACGGCTGGAAGAGCTTTGGCAGCCGCTTTGCCAGGAGTTCCATGGCCAAATAGGAGTTGCTCTGTCAATGCAGTTGGTCTGTCAACGCCAATGCCGGTGTTTAACAAAAGAAGACGCTTCCGACGCGGCTCTTCCACATGTCGGATACGGACCGGTGACCAAAGAGTCGGTGTGACCCGACACCGAGGCGAAGGGTGATCTTTGGGACCACTGACTCCACTTATTTTAGACCACTCAAATCACGGGGGGTTGTAGATAGACGTTTATCTTCTTTTGCACTTGGGGAGAACCAAGTGATTTGGATCTGGATACCAAGTGACCAAGTATTTGTTTGTGGGGCCCGGGGGTCTCGAAAAGCCGTCTTTTGTTCAGGTTGAAGTGTGACCACACGAACTACAACGACATCCTAACGATGTCCCACAAGCAAACTTTGAAGCTCATGCAGACCGCGAGTGCCAGTCAAGTTGGCGTTGAAATCAGGACGGCGCAGAGCTGAGCCCAAAGCAAAGGTTTCTTGTGCCCCATGCAATAATAATCAGGGTTAAAAGATTGGGAGAGAAAGTAAGAAACTTCGATTTTTGGAGAAGGTCCTCCCAAATGCAGGCAACGAATTTGGTTGCAGCACAAGATCCAGCACTTCGTCGCGAAGCACGGAGCCGAGGGTGGCTTCGAGTTCCTTCGTGCAGAAGGTATCCAAGGACGCGTTCGTTTGAAACAGTTTGCAACACTTCAACTTTGGCAGTGTGCAAGAACCTCCTCTTTTTGCGGGGCGCTTCAATTAGCCATCCTTCGATTGGTGGGTGGGTGTGTGAGTTTGAGATTTCGAGAGAGAAGTAAGACCACTGGAGGTTTCTAGAGAGGATAGAGATAGCTGGAGGATGCTAGAGGCAAGTATAGCTTGGCAAGTCATTACACATTATGTACAAGTAGAAATACAGGTTTGTGGAGAGCAGTACCCAGGGAAGTATAAATTAGGTTTCTAGAGAAAAGTGCAAAACGGTTGAGTGCAGAGGTAGAATTTTCATGAATTTTCTAGAGAAATGTTTACAACAGTATGCAGATTTCTAGAGAGCAAAGTATCGCATTGCGCTTGAACAAACTATTGTAAGCCGCCACACCAGAGCCCAGATTTGCCAAATTTCCACAGTACACATCAGTACAGGACACCGCGAAGCAGAACACTACACTTCACCACATCACAAATCGGTACAGATCACCCTACACTCCTATACACCACTTCGTCGGAGATTGCTTGGAACAAAGGCCCTGTTTCGTTCACCTCATGTCAGATGCGGGCTTAACTGCTCCAGGAGCTTCGGCCGAAGCATTCCATGGCTATGCCCAGAGCGGCCGCAAGTCCCTCCTGTCGCTTTCGCAATCCTTCGAGTTCTCTGAAGACGAAGAAGGCCTCCGCTTGTTCGACCGGGTGCCACGGCGTACGAGAGGGTAAAGGTGGGAGGTTTCGCAAAGGGATCGGAAACCAGAAATCCTGTCTTGGGTTCCGCAAACCTGCAGTACTCGTCACATCAATTGAAACAGCGACCTATAATACTTTGAACCCTCCCAGGATCTAATGACGATGACAATGTGCAAGAGAGAAAAAGAAACCTACTTGGCAGCCCACCAATACATCAGCTGGTTGGGGGTTCCCACCAGATTGGCGCAACCTCTTGCAAACTGAGGAGCAGTACGCGGCTTTTCTCCAAGAGGAGCAGCAAGCTGCCCACGCCGATGACAGTGCCCGCTCCGGAAAGGGCCGACGAAAGCAAAAACGTCAGGAGCGGCGAGCAAGACGCAAGGCATCTTGCCTGGACAGTGGAGACTTTAGAGGTGCGACCAGCCTGAGGATGTACTTGAGTTCCAAAGACTATTCGTTGGGACTTTGGGCATTTTAGAAACTCAGACCGACTCATCCTCAGGTGGCACTCTATGGGACTGAAGAAGTTTTGTTTTCGTATTTGTTTTGTTTGATTGTTTTTTGTTTGTTTGTTTGTTGTGAGAATTGTTAGACTTGTTTTGGTAGAGTCGCTCGAACATTTGAGTCACTTGCCTCAATCAGGAGAAGAGGGAGAAGAGGCGGATGATGGCGAAAAAGATCTTTGGATGCCTGGGCAAAGCCTCCATTTGGAATGCGGAGGGTTACAGCCGCACACTGGGAAGCTACGTGGGATTTAGCTTCGGGCAAGGCTTTGGTGCCAGCAACAATGCCCTCAATGATATTCTTAAAGGACACGGTTTCCACGTGAACTGCCGTTTTCCCACCCATAGAGACCGAAAACATTGTAGAATATTGTAGATACTCGTACATTAACTTAGGTACCTATGGTTTCCCCGTTGCCGGTGGGCAGGGTTTGTTCCATCAATCTTCCATCAATCTTGCATATCAGAGTCAACTAGCAGCAAGACGTAATCAATGAGTGGGTTTGGCCGGAAACTATGGATTTGGGTTGCGGGTTGTTCCGTCAATGTGTTCCTTCACACTAGCATGGGGATAGCACTGTTTCCAGCCTTGTACCCGATTCACTTTAACAGATTTTAGTGATTCCAAACCTAGACCTCTCATCTGATTCTGATCAAGGGCGAACACGCGCAGTGAATTGCCAAAGACCGTCAGCTAAAGAGCCATGATTGTCAAAAAAAACACTGCAGGACAGGCCCCACAATGGACGGCTGGTTACTATAGTTTCTATGTCAGCCTTGGCTGCTTGGATGGAAACAAGTTGAGAACTCGACCGGTTCGTCTTGCAGGTGCAACTTGTAGCCTAGGTCCCCTCAGGTCGTGGGACTTCTATCAATGGTTTGAAGATGTAATCTGTAAGAGGCTGTGGCTTTAGAAAGATCCCACAGCTTCAATCGTTGCACGACATGGAGATCCTTCGACTGAAAGCGAAACCATCCCCCCAGAGCACGGTCGGAGCACGGTGGGGCCGATGGTCCTTGGCGCCCCAAGGATTCGGGAACATCTACAAGTGGTTTTGGGGTGGCCTCTCTGTGAGCGGTGCCTTCACCATCACGCAGGATTCGGTCCTGGTGGGAGTCTACGTCGGCGCGGTGGCCTGTGGTTGGGGCAAAGTCAGTTGGGTCACAGAGCGTTGCCCCTTTGGCGTCAAGGGCAACTTTGCAGGCTTCCAATGCATGCGCGCCACTGGGGTGACCATCTCACTGTTCTGCTGCGGCATTGACCTGGTTTCAGGGGACAACAGTTGCCGCTGACACGAACGCCACAGTGTCGCTTTCGCTCCCCGAAGAAATCGGTGTCTCAAGACCCCAGGGTCTCGACGCCCAGACGGCGACGTCCACGGAGAAAGCAAGCGCGAGCACGGGGAAGGTTCTATTGAAGGTCCTAATGCTGAGGGTTGATGTCTACAGCTCACCTACCAGGAATGCTTGTACATCTCTGGTCCTCGGGATGTTTATTCATAAACAGCCAATATTGAGATAACTTAAGATATATATATATATATAATATATATTTATACATGTACAGCAGGTTCAATACTCGATTCAGTTGCGTAAATGAACTGCTGGGGACAAGTGGGTTCAGAGCTGAAATAACATTTGGAAGGAGCAAGAGGGTTCCAGGTCATTGTAGCCAGGGGAGAGAGCCATGAGGAAGGATGGAGCCAACGGCCACCTTTCGAACAAAGACCCACTTGAGCTGCAAGGATCTGCAAGGCAAGGTTGGGTTTTAGTTTTTGGAGGGTTATATAAGGCTTCCCCAACAGGAACATGAACTGACTAACAGAACATGGGAAAAAGGAGCATGACGCTTGCCAGAGTCCATCGAAAAGATTCCACATCGGGAGGAAGGGAGGGGGCGCCCACCATGGCAAGCCACGACCAAGGCAGTACTACTGGAACGCCGAATACCAAATTTCCCAGTTTGAGCGGCCGACGTGAAAGGTTGCTTGACAGGCGCGACGTATTCGCATATATGTGCTCACCATACAAAAAGACATAGGATGAAATGGGGTGTGTATATATATATATATGTATAGGCTTAAGACAACTCATAAACACCAACGTCGAGAGGATAGAGGCACCCTGGGATTCTGGGATGTCATCGGAAGTACAGAGCAATCTGCATGTGCTTCACATCTTGCAAAGCTGGCTTTTCTGCTGCCAGGTAGTGGCTGCCACACCTGATGGCGTGCCCCAGTACCATGTCAACAGCGCAGAAGAAAGAATGAGCTGGCTGCGGTTGGGGAGGTTGAGTCTATGCACTGATACTATCAATTTTGTCAAATGGATGTGGATCCATGTGAATCCAACAACAGAATACAGCAGTGCACTTGTTTGCCGCGCTGACCACTATTGGATGTTTCTTCAAAGCTTATCCCACTCACCTACCAGTAAGTAATTGTGTGGAGCAAAGCTGCAAGCTTCTTCCCCCAAAAAACAGTGCAGAAAATGATGAACATGGCCAGAATCTATAAATTGTTTGACGTTCATGCGGCATTGGGCCAGGCCATTGGCCAAGCCAACATGTTTCTGGTGTGGGTACTGTATCTCTTAAAATGAAGGGAGCTCTCAAGCCAAGAGTTTCCTCGATGTTTTTTCAGACTTCCTGTCATAGTTAGTTTCATTATTTTTTTCTCGAGGAACAAAAAAGAGTTTCTTCACCTTTTCCTTCTGCTGTCGTACTGCTCTTTGGAGTCCTACCCTCTAAGACATCGTCTCCGAGTTCCTCGACAGGCGTGGCACTGACTGTGGGCACCGTGTGCTTTGTGAAACTAACGCCCTTGATCAGGCCGCGGCAGAAGGAGACCACCGGCCGCGGTACGTCGATGCTCCGATACTCTAACGTTTGGGACCACACACCTGATTGGAATGTTTTTTGAAAACAACATGTTGTACCAAGAATCCACCGCCCAATCAAATGATTCAGTCAATAGGACCTGCAGGGAAAGCATGCTAAATGAATCCCCACATCAATTTTCTGGTTCCAGGGTGTTCCAAGGATTTTGGATGGATCTCATTTGGTGATACTGCTGACTGAACACCTCCTGCAGCTGCACCCTGTGAGATAGGGCTTTAGATGGCTTTAATGTCCCATGGTGCTCCCCATGTATCATGGCCCAGACCGGTTGAGAGCGGAACCTTGTCGCCGTGAATTGGTTTCCCAGTTTGGGGATTGCTCACAATCGTGTGTGGATTTGCATTTGTTCGAACACAACAAATTTAGCTGTGACCCAGGCCTGGGTCGATGCAGTGCATGGCAGTGCATGGCCCCATACTTGAGCTACACTGTGGAGCTAAGATCCAACATGACCCCAAAAACGGCTCTTGGTCGTCAACTTGCAGGCGGTGTACACATTCCACTGACTTCGATATGCTGAGGCTTTCCTCAAAAAAGGGCCCCTCCTTCGTGTGGACGTCTTGGAACCGGAAACAAGGTGATCCCCGAAAGAGCCCGGCCACGCACTTGGCCACAACAGAGTCCCTGTGACAGGTCTTTCACGGTGTGAAAGAAGAGATTAAAAACTCTTTGGTCATAGTTATATGATGTTGTACGTGATATATGTTGTATACCCAAATCCTCACGGCAATAAATATATATATATAGGACGAGTTACAGTTTGGCATATGGCATCTATATAACAAATGGCATTTAATGGCATCATCATCGCACTGTATTGTTTGGGGGGACCCGCAACTCATTTGTTGCAGCACACCCCGAGTCTGACCCTTCGCACACCCCGGAACACGCCACCCGGAACACGCCACGGAGTTCTCCGTGGCTTGTTCCCTCCCGAGGTCGGCGGATCTCGGCAACTCCGTGTCCCTGGCAGGCTTCAGTGCCTTGGAGAAAAGGAGGGCCCAGCAGGTGCCAGCAGGCGTTGGTGTTTTCTTCATTTTGGGTGCGCTAGTGTTGCACACCTTTCCATCAAAAAGAAAACACATGGCCAAAATCCCATTGTCCCGGCAAGAGACCCCAAACAGTGTTGAATAGAGCACAACAAGGGTGAATAGGAATAGGCTCCACTACTATTGTCCTCCCAAAAAAGACCATGAACAATTTGGAATCGTCATTCCTACATGTTGGTGAGAAAGAACGCAGTGTCATTCAGTTTCTGTTTGGGCACTCACGCTGGAATCTGGAACCCCAGTCGTTTGCTGCTGCCCAGCACCGACGATCTCAGCATGTCTCTCTGCATCCGCCCAGATGGAGTTGCCCTGAACACCGGGAATGCCAACTACGACACAGCGGCTTGACCGCATCACGGGTTTCCTGTGACTTTTTACTTGCTCCACGAGGTTCTTGTGAAGGGTCAAAAAAAATGAGGGAAAAGAATGATTCTGAACATGTCTGAACCAAATCTCCTGCTTTGGAGTGGTTTTATTCATTGCGTGTTGCTGAGTACTAGATGATTCTTCCATGAACTCATGAAGATGCAAGGTGGATCGAGGTGAGCCCCTTGAGCCTTGAATGATTGACTTCACAAGAGTAGAAGCGTATATGATGGGACTGCGACGGACCGTTGTGCTCGTGGTCCACTCTTCTTACAAGTGTCAGTCCAGTCAGTCGCTTGGTTCCTCGGAGTCGACGACGATGTTCTGTGCAACTTGAGAATTAGACCCTTCAGATTGAGCTTTCCCCAAGTTAAGAGAGCTCGCAAATTCGAAGCCCTACAAGATCCTATAATGGGCCCGCGCAGGTGCAGTATACCCTTGGGTTGTTTTGAGATATTTATGCGCCTCCATGCCCCTCCCGTCTATAATTGTTTGTTGCTGTTGAGGAACTTACATGTACCTCTTGTGAGTGGTTCTTTTGCTGTTTGTCCAATCCCCTTTGGGATCTGATTTTTGCACCTTTGAAGAAACAGAACGTTCGAATCCTCAACATCTATAGGGAGAGAGAGAGAGAGTTCTTTTTGACCCAGAGGGTCCTCAACCAACACATAGAAGAACCAAGACACCCAAGACTCAGATGTTGTGACTCATAGAAATTCTTCCTCTAGGAAATCTGAGTTGGAAGGTGGACATGAAGCACATATGTCCAAGACAGAATGTATAAACTATGAGTTCCAGGAATCTTGTGTTTGATCACCCTTGGAATTCAATTTAGTTTGTTTCAAGATTACTGATGAGCACCAACTTGAAACCGTGAGTCGTCAGTCCTCTGACTGTGTTCCTGCACCAGGTCTTCAATCAGACCCTTTTCGATTGTGTCCAGCAGCTTGGTTTCCATAGATGTGTTTCTTTTGTGTGACATTGAACGTGTGAAGCAAATGTCTTCGTCTTCGTCTTCGGACGTTCTCCCGGCCGTTTGGCCATTCACCGGGCACCTCAGAAGTCGTCCTTTTGGCGGTTTCACAGGGCGCCTGGTCTCCACTCGGGTGTGTGCTCGATGAACACTCAAAAACTGTGCTGAAAACGGATGGACAAAGAAAGAGCGCCTGGTCACCGTCAGTTGGCGCTCGTCCTTTTGGATCACGAAGAAGAGCCCAACCGCCTGGTCTGGGGTGCTGTGCTGTCCCCAAAAAGAGTCTACATTCGTTGATCTCCTCTCAGTCTTTAGAGGCGAAAACGACCTTCTTTTCTTGCAGCTGTTGTTGAGGGGAAATCACCCACAGGTTCATGGGAGAAATACACATGGGACAAGGGGATGGTTGCTGTTACATTGCTGTATGTTCTTTTTTTGGGTTTCATGTGCTGAACCCGATGATTCGTCAAACATTCAAAAATTATAGCTGGTTTTCACACATCATGTGCCCTGACGAACAAAGGTAACGATGATGGTCGGCTCAAAAGATGTTCTTGATGTTGAAAAGCATGTTCAACCCTTTGAGCCACTAGCCCAGTAGCTTCAGTCATTATGGACCACCAGTGGCCCCAGCCTGGCCCAGCCGTCGCTGAAGGAACAGCAAGAACCTGCCTGACCCTAACGCCGCCTCAGCGGCCAAGGCACGATGACCCGGATGGTGGATGAAAGATACGAAACCAAATCACGCTGCCAACCAGAATATCCGGCAATAAACAAGTGTTGTTTTGGAAGTTGTGTATCCAATTTGGTGGTGGACCGGAGCTTTTGGTTTTCGTTTGCTTCAGATGGATTTGCCTTGAAACTTCACCTACGGCGGCACCAATATGCCCTTAGAACCGGGGATTACTCCTGGAAGTACTCCTGGACTTGAGCAGAGCTCCGGGAGGCTGGAACTCAAAAGGATACCTGTTGTGCTATTAAATATGTGTATATATACATATCTGATGTCGTAAATGAACACATTTGGGATTTGGGTGCGAAAAGGGGCACAGCAACTGTCAAAAAGCATAGCTGAAGTGTTGTGAAAGCACACTAGTTTTCACCTTTTTTGATCCTTTTTGCCAGCCCCTCGCATCCCCGTCTCAGGGCAAGTGCTTTGATGATTTGTACTCCCGCGATGGGCAGTGCCGGCAGCTGGCGCAGGCGACCGACCCGAGCAGACCGTGCTGGTGATACCGCACGGTCGTCCGTACGCGGTTCGTAGGTTTTGAACGGAGCTGCGACATGGCACAGGGTGGAGTCGGGTGGAGTATGGTGGAGTTGTGTTTTGTCTACAAGGTTTGAACAGACCTTGGGGGTTGGGATGAGAAGGCTAGGCTAGGCACGTGAGATCATGCGTCATGTGATCCGGAGTACAGGGCAAGGGTCTCCGCAGACAGAACTGGCTTAACTGGCTTGAATGTCGCGAGAAAATGCATACAGCAAGAGGTTTGAGGGGCAGCCAGACATTTGAACTTCTTGCAATTTATATAGGTCCCGCATTAAAGGTGTCAAAAACAAGTCTGGACTTGAAGACTGGTCTGGTCTTTTGGTCCAGTGCGTT